TTTTGGCATGGGGGTGAATTCCCGGCGAGGTGTGCGCGCAATTTCTATTGTAACATGTGTGGGGTAATTCGTTGAGCTTAACGACGTGGGCGTCTGCGCTACTCGCATATCTTGCCGCCATCCAGTTGCATGTTGCCTGTATATGCTATCCCCACTGGTAAGTTTTTTGTGGATCCGTCGCTTGGAGGGAAGGAAGGTGGCGCGTTGATGTAGTAACTCTTGGAGGTGGAAGGGGGGAGAGTCCGGGCATCATTGAGCGGGATTTGGATAATAAGTGCTGAGCAGGTATAGAATGATGCTGCCCAGCCAATCAAATATCACGGGGTCAAGTGCATCTGCGTTCTCACCCTTGAAGATGCTCGTTGCACTCATTCCATAGCTGTCTGGTAAGCTGCGGCCTCAGGATATCATAGTATGTTTGATCTTGGCTTCGAAGGTGTCAAGCTAGCTCTAAACTCATACTGTACTTCGGGGACTTCCATAGTATTCCGAGGGGCCAAGATTTCTATTTTGTCAGGGTGGGGTCTTTTTTTTTTTTTTTTTTTTTTTTCCCCTTTGAGAAAGTCTATATAAGGAGGGGGTCCCCCCCCCTTTCTGTTCCTTTTTTTCCTCGTCACTCTCTCTTGCTCTTCTCCTTGCATCACTCTCTTCTCCTCTCTTCTCCCCTCTTCTCTTCAGGTCTTTATGCTTGAGGTATTATTTTGTTGGCTGTTTGTTTCTTGATCCCCCTTCCACTCTCCCTCCCCCCTCTTATTTAAAGTATTACACAGGGAAAATCTGTTAACTTTATTGGCACTACTAGGAACACTTACTACAAGCATTGGCTTTATGCCATTATTATAATTAAGGAGATACAGGTAATGATATCTGAAAGCTAACTAAAGGCTCAAAGCCTGGGAGGGTGGGAGGGAGAAAAGAATTTAGGAGAAAGATCCAATAGGACAAATAGGAGAAAGATCCAAATGGACAACTTTAAGAGGGCATCTGAGGGAAAAACTGATGGATCATGAATGCTTATATTCAAAGTTTAGGTATCTCCTCCCCTAAGGGGGCTTAAGGATTGATAACCATAAGCGGGTCCATGTGACCATATGAGCTCATGATCTGAGGGATCTACCATACTGGCAGCTTCAAATGATATTAAGATCCCTCTCTCCAATTCAATGATATTCATGAATCTGGAGATATCTGATGAAGTTTGCCCTGAAAAATAAAAATTAGTTACTGCCTTTATATTGTATTACCTATTGGTAACTACAAAATCCTAGTAGTTTGGCTAGAAAAATCTCCAAAGGAGAGACCCTAATGTTGTCAAACTGGCTTAATTGTTTAAGTTCAGTTTGCAATAAAGGGTTACATTCATATAATATATATTGGAATAGTTAGAAAGTAGTAGTAGGAAGTAGTAGCAAGAACTAAACTGTTAGCAAATACAGGACACATCTAAAAACATGTCACTATTTACTATAAGTTTGTTATATACTTTTTTTTTCTATTCCTTCACAGTATCTTTTTATCTAGTTATTTGCAAATACAGATACGCATAATATTATTAGATACCAAAGGACACCTTCATTTCTACTTCTTGATATTGACTAGAAGGTATATGGTGACTTACTAATACTCGAGTACCTGATGTCCTTTGACAACATATGTGGAGTCTGTAACTCCTCCAAATCTTATCAGGTGTGGATGAAAACCTTGTCTATTTTCATCACTGATATTCTAACTATTACCATTCCTATGCCCACTAAGGGATTGCTTTGGTATTTGGTAATCAGGTATCAATACTTATAATTTCTATCATCTTGAGGATGTATCTACTCTGTTATTGCATTGACGTTAGCTCCTTCTGTTAGGTATCGTCACCCTCAACTTCAGTGGAAAAAGATCCGGGTCCAGCCGCAAGCAGAATAGATGTTTTTAGAGGGGGGGGTTTTATATAAAATACCTAGCTGGTTCAATAGCCGAGATGTCAAACTGAGGATATGGGTTTTCTAAGGAAATAAAGTACCAATATCAAAAGAGTGGCTTTCCTACTTTTTGTTTCTATATTGGTAAATCAGTAACCCGCCTCAAGTACTACACAGCCTAGAAGTGTACGCTTCAATGTTCCCATACTGACTTCTCTCCTGTTCCAGTTAATAAATACATACAATCACCTACTGAGCATATCTACATTGGCCGGCTCTAACATAGTTGCTGTTTACATATCCCAAGTGCTAAAGGCTAAGAGTCAATTCCATCCAGTATCTACAGAGTTTATAATGTTCCTTCTCAGTCTGGCCAGGTACCCCTTGTGCCTTACCCTATGTACTGCACTCTACTGGCAATGCTATGATGGTTGCAACATAGTATGCTATTTTGTGTCATTAAACCTCTAACGCTCTAGCCAATATTTACCCAGGTGCAATAGCAGTCAGCTTTATAAAATTCACAATACTATGAGTCTTACACACTCTAACCTCATATTATAGAAACTCCATCCAGATTAATAGGCCATACTGATTGATTGCAGCAACAGCATTACCTCTTCACAAAAACAACATCTACAGCACACTAATAATATTGCATTTCACCGCCGTGCTCCCAAATCAGTGCTCCTCATGAACCCGCTCAAGTCATGTCTGGTCACTGACTTAAGCTCACTCGGCTGGATAGAAAATGGGCCAGAGGCGCTTGAGATCAAGGCAGGACTCATGCCAAAATAGGCTCGGGAATTAAGGCACTAGTCATCTTGAGTTTGGCCAGGCCAGTTGTCACCTAGTATCACTGACTGAAACTAATTAAGGGGATCTATGTTCCAAATACCCTATTGAGGAAAGCAAACCTTCAAATCTCTCCCCCCCCCAAACATATTAGTTTTCTGCTTTAGCCTCCCTCCTCAGCTCATGTAAATTGATTGAGGGTTGTATTCTTATGGAAAATCTAATGTACAAGTGGTTTCCTGGGCATGGGAAAGTTGGAGGTTGTTAAATTTCTTTCCTCCTTGTGTATTAGGACCTCTACAACATATACAAGATATTGTAAGATATACCGATTTTTTCCCCTCCTTTCCTTGCATATTTGAAAAGAAAATAAACTTGGTTGAAAAAGCATGGGCTTAGCTCAAGTCTTTGAGCTACTCACATATCTTGCTGCCATCCAGTTGCATGTTGTCTGTATATGCTATCCCGACAAGTAAGTTTTTTGTAGATCTGTAGCTTGAAGGAAAGGAGGGTGGTGGGTTGATGTAGTAACTCTTGAAGGTAGAAGGGGGGAGAGTCCAGGCATCATTGAGTGGGATTTGGATAACAAGTACCTAGTAGGTATAGTATGATGCTACCCAGCCGATCAAACACCATGGGGTTAAGTGCATCTGTGTTCTTGCCAGTGAATATGCTCATCACGCTCAGTCCGTAGCTGTCTGGTAAGCTGTAACCTTGGGATATTATAGTAAGTTTGATCTTGGCTTTGAAGGTGTCAAGCTAGCCCTAAACTCATACTATGCTTCACCGACTTCCATAGTATTCTGAGGGGCCAAGATTTCTATTTTGTTGGGGTGGGACTCTTCTTTTTTTTTTTTTTTTTTTTTTCCCCTGAGAAAGTCTATATAAGGAGGGGGTCCCCCCTCCTTCTGTTCTTTTTTTCCTCATCATTCTCTCTTGCTCTTCTCCTAGTATTACTCTCTTCTCCTCTTTTTTCTTCTCTTCTCTTC